TGATCAGCACACAACTGAAGGAGTCGATCTCCGTTGTCTGTGCGGCGAGCATCCGTCTTCTCGAACGCGTCTTCCTGAACTTTCCTGGATACTTATTGACTATCACTCAAATTTAAACGAATTCTACGAGGCGATTCCACAAATTCCTCGCTTTTCAATAGTCAGGAAGAGGATTTACGATAAAACACTACTCGCCTGCCTCATCAGTAGTACCCACCGTTATAATGGTATCGGGAGTCGTAACAGAACACGTGTGTAAAATCCGTGCGTCCGTATGTAAAAAAAACAACGGATTGGTAAGGAGTAAGAAAGAAAGAGGAACCGAGAAAACAGAAGACACCGAAAATGTGCAAGTGAACCTAATATTTTATCGAAGCGATCCAGAGGTGAATGCGTTAAGTCAAACGGACAAATGTGTGGAAAAAGTTCACTGTGAACTAATGACAGGCAAAAAATGAACTTACTGAATATTCTCTGAACCCAAGGAGCATAAAGGATATGAACTAAATCTCCGTGTATGACGACTGACGAGATTTAAAACAAACTTCGATAATTTTCACTTCGCTACTCAAATTACTGAGAAACTGAGAAGTACGTCGACAGGACAATGCAGACAAGCGATTTGTCCAAGCGTCGCTACTACGTCTGAAAACCTTTACCGCATACTTAGATGTCGGAATAGGTTAACCACGAAAACCACTTTTAAATACAGCATACCCTATTGATTTCAAATTCCTAGTGTTGTGCTGTGCTATCATAAACAGTCACTCAAGAGCTTGTCGGGTAACTCTAAAAATTGAGTAACCACTCCGGTTATGTACCCAAACCTCGTTTCATTTGATCCAAATGGGTCAAGTCGCCAGCCGAGGTTTTTGCATTCAAGTAGCTCAATTTTTAAGCAGCCATCCTGACCTGAGTCCTGTATTTTGTCAAACCACTTCCCTACTATCTAGGCACGAGCGGCAGTTAAAGTTAGGTTACGCCAGAAAACACCGCCAGGAAATCAGATTGTTTTTTATTCATTTCTCTCCACCTGAGCATTAATAATCACCATGAAAACGAACAGGACGGAAGCATATACTCAACAAAGCTTCAAACAATCGAGTGTTCTCACACAATAACTGTTATTCAGCCATTTTGTGTAAATTATATTTCATTTATTTAAACCCCGTCCGGTCTGCACTGAAAAGCTTATATTTCCTTTGAAAGGTTTCCAGTTTAACTCACCCCACAACACAATGGAGACGGCTTCCAAGTTGAGGGGGCTCGAAACGTTAGATAAGAATGCTCAAAAAATACCATGAAATAAAACAGCCAATCAGTTGATCAACATTCTCTCAATTGCACGGTTTGGGGGGTCGGGAAAATTGTTGGTTGGTTTGTACTATTCGTCCTACCTTCCTTTGCGTTTTTAAGCCAAATCAACGGCAGAAGGGAGGTCACATTATCGTCGTTCAGATGCTTGTCGGCTACCTACTAGCCGTAGAAGTTTTACGCATGTTGGCCAGCGGTCTCTGTCTACCAAAGTAACAAACTGTTTATGCAGTGTGAGTTAGCGGCTAGAGATGAAACACACGTGGAGTCAATTATTCGGAAAGCCACATGTCACAGCAAATACGCAGGTATCCCTTCCGGACCAGCTTCACATGGGTTGAACGAACAAGCTGATTCCCCGTGTAAATCAGCGCATCTGAGACTGGAAAAGAAAAGGCTTTTTTTCTGACACACTGAGGTTTCGAAAATTAGATGAACTGGCACTGTATAGCACAGCAGCAACTCGATTCGCAACAAGAGGTGAAGATGCTGGACGATAATTGACCACATAGGGGCGTCCTGTGTACTGTTTTTTTAAGTAAGCATTTGCTAACAGACAGGTCGAGACATCTCAACAGTCGAGATAACAGATGCTGATCCAGAGATCCACGGTTTGGGTTCTTACGGACAGATGACATTTAGAGTGAAATCGTCTGGGTTTAGACATCCGGAAAGTTGTTCACACTTCATGGCTTCTTCGAGCCGCCCGGCAGCCATAAATCGGATAGGGGCTACAGCCCTCAGATGATTGGTTATATTCCTCGCTTCACCGCAGACCGCTTGGAATAAGTATTTGAGGACTCACGCTTAGCTTGGGCCCAAAACGTGGACCAAGTCGCTTGTCTCTTGAGTGGCAGACAAAAGTGATCGTGAGAACTCAGTGAGTGAAATAAAACGGAATATGAAGGTGGGAACATACCCAGTGTCCGGAAAAATGTCAATCTTGACAGCAGATACAGGTGTCGTAGGTTCTACTAACGCCGCTGGTTTCGATGCAGACTTCACTGGTTGTGATTCCGGTCCCAGCTTTGATCGAGGTTGTGTTTCAGTTTTGGTGGGGCTGGAACCTGAGCGCAACCAGTCTGCAGAAACATCCGAGACATCATCCAGGATGGATGTTAGGAGGCTTCGCTGGGTTGGTGAGATATTCAGTCGAGCATCGGAAACTGCTGGAGAAGGAGTTTTCTGAATGACGGTTTGATTTGGTGACGAAGCACGCCGAGAGGCTGGAGGAACCTTGAGAAGTGAAGTTGGCTCAAGTGCTTTTGTGAACTCGGATTCAGATGATGAGCTCTCAGAAGATAGCTTATTCTTGATGAATGGAGGAAAAAAGGAAGAAAGTGCACTACATTGTACTACATAGTACTACTACTAAAAACGAAGTCAGAAGTAAACCTAAATCGCGAGGATTCGGTCAAAAATTGGACAAATGTTGAGCGCTAGGAAATCGTAATACCGTATGCATACAGGCGTGCAATGGTAGCAGATTTAGGCCAAAAAGCGAAACAAACCTCCTTACATCACACATAAATAATCAACGCACACATGCTTTTCTTTAAACCGTGTGCATTAGTAACTGAGGTGATTACTTTCGAATTTGTATAACAGCGTCGTCTGACGAGGGAGGTCATCTTGATGTGGACAGAGCATGATCGCGAAAGAACAGAACCAGAACGGATTATACGAATGACGTGGCATATTTTGGAACAGACTTCTTGAACTCTTATCAAAGGAATGACTAAACGAACGACGCAAACGATTACCAGACGAGTGACACAGGCCTATGAAGAAACAGTAGTGGTAGACCTAGCAAGTTTCAGGTATAAAACGGCTAAATTCACGTGATACCTCGGCGAAAGTAGGTGTCACCCTGAGCGAACATGATAGGGACATGTTTGGATTCCACCCTGAAGCGACAAACGTATAAAACGATGTATTCTATCTCCGTCAGAAGGTATCTACAAACGACAGTATCCCGCAAAGTGTAATGGAGTGTAATACGCCCATTGTATGGGGACTGCATTACTCTGTAAAATATGGAAAACAGGGCCATATGCGACTAAATTTGCCAGAACAGTACACGGAGACTGAAGGGACAAACATATCTACATCAGAGAGACAGTCGCTCGAAGCGTACAAGCGCTTGGATGTTTGCGCTACTTTTTAAACCAGTTACATAAGACTGTAAGGATATTTATCGACCCAATGGTGACCTTGTAGTTGTTAAACGACGGATGTCAGCTGATGGCGTCAATTTCAGGTGAACCGGATAAACATGGAAACAAGTTTTACATGACTGTGCTACGGTTAGCATGTTGCCTAACTGTTGACATAATCTGGCCTAGAAAGTATCAAAAATGCAATTTAATGACATCACCATGAACTTCAAAACCGCTGCTTAGTTTATCCAACAATGAACTGCTTGCTTGATCCCTTTCTAGGGCAACGATCTGTTTTAAAACCAGGTGAGCAAGCGTTCCCGAGTCAACAATACAAAATGTATTAGAACATGAAGAATACACCAGAAAGCCCGATGTTTTAGTAATGTCTGTAGAAAGTACGATAGAGATGCCAGGCATTAACTAACATTATGCACCATCGAAGACTAGCAGCCTATTTAAAAAAACTTTCTGGTTAAAGAAATACCCGCAGGGAAACAGGGTGGTGGGTTTTTCAATACTAATAGTGATAGCCAAAAATAGGATTCTGTGCATGCATGGTCAGTCTGGTGCTGAAGCTTCAAAATCTCCAAATATGTCTACCGAACGACGTCTAACCGTTCTAACATAGAGAAAGACAGTCACCAAAGAATGTGTTTGGAACCAACCCTAGAAATAACGCATTCGTCCACTGATTTTGATGTGCCGTGTAAAGAATAGAGAGTGAGAATCACTGTTAACGCTACTTTAATGATCCAATCAAGTGTGTGCTTGATTTGCAGTGGGAAAATGTGACGCTCGCATAGTCAACCGCAAGTGACGAACGTGACGTTCACACGCACTGATTTATTGAAAAGAGCCAGTCAGTTAACTGATGATAGAACGCAAGTTATCGCAGTCGGAGGTTTATAAACAAACGATTTTGGCCCAGCAGCAGACATATCGTGGCAAAATGGACTCCATTCAAAAACTCGATGAACTATTGTGCAACTGAAGCCTCCGGGTATTGTATCAAGCTTGACGCGAAAAGCCTCCAGTGAAACAGATTGCAGGTTACCACGGAAGGCGTCCAACCGGACAACTATTTCAAAGCTGAATGGATCGTTAATAATAAGCGTTCAGCTGTAGCACCCTTCCGGTGCCTAGCTGCCATGCCACCCGAAGGAAGCACGAGGGCTGGGATACTGCCAGGTTGCCCAAGCCTAGACAGGGGAAGTCGAGTGGCGGAGGTCGGATTCGAACCGCGGCTGCCATGCCACCCGAAGGAAGCACGAGGGCTGGGATACTGCCAGGTTGCCCAAGCCTAGACAGGGGAAGTCGAGTGATGGAGGTCGGGTTCGAACCACGGACCTTCCGGTCAGTAAATTCGCGCTCTAACCACTTGGGCCATCTCGCCCCCTGAACGGGTCGTTGAGCTTTAGGGAATCCACTAATCCACTTTTCGTTGGCATTTAGCTTACTTGAATGCATGAGCAGATGAATTGGCCTGAAGATCCTACATCACAAAAGTAAGTGATATTCAGTGGCTAAGAAATTTCAGTTTTAACTAGAATTAGTAGGTTCGAGTAACCATGGATACAAGGGAGATATTGAGACCAGCATGGAGAGGATTATGGTGGAGTTTATCGAGAATCCACCGGAGTAGGGTTCAACATATTTATTTTATAACACCTACACGGAAATGAGTAGGGATTCGGACGCGCCGCAAGGAGTTCAAAGAAATCCAAGCAGAAAGAAATAATTTTGCGGGAATGAAGCGACGATGGACTTCCAGTATCAAACGATGACTGAGAGCGCCGAGGAGAATGAATTGGGATCCAGCCCAAATAGGGTGAGATAAATTTTTACTAATATAAATTAGGGAACTGGAACACCAACATCCGAATGCTAGCCGAAACCTCCTCAACAAGAGTGGCATAGACCAAATACACACAACGACGCACCAGTAAGCTACCACGTAGTGCTACCAATGACCCAAAAATGTCACGCTTTAAACAGAACTGTCAAGCTCAACCATTGCTAGGAATAGGGCTTTCTACGAAGCGCACGTGTGTATACCAAAGGACGACAGGATGAGAATACCTAGTGGTTGTCCAAACCATAAATGCGCTCATGTGCATCGACAGACAGCCCAACGGAGAACGTAAGTAAAGGTTGAAAATAAAAAGTAAAGCAATATTAGGGAATCGCCTTACCGGGGGCAGACTCGCTGTACGTTTCTAGAAAAAGAGACGGAAAATCGAATGATAAACAGTTCATCAGCAAACGGACATTATTAAGGTGAACTTACTTGCTCACGTCGCTTTATCTTGACGTTTGCAAGCTGTGAAGAGAAACGAGAGGATAACGTTTGAATCCTGCATTGGGAGCTTGAAATAAGTTAGATGAGTGAAGCCGGAACAACCGAAAAAAATTTTCGCGAACAATGCAACCGAATAAGTGATTCCTTGAGATTGCACTGCACCTAAAGATGTATTTCAAGGTAGTCTCTTTCATGGAGTTCAAAGATGGGGACACGAAAGACGCAGCGATGAAGAATCTCCTTGAATAAGACGGAGGAGAAAAACAATTTTTAAAGACAAAGCTAGAAATTGAACCATACTAAAGACGCTGAATATGAGGGGAGACAACTGAAGTTACTTGATGGGATTACATTTAGAAATTCCCTAGCAGGGGTTCTGAGGACAGACGCGCCGAGAACAGTGGAGAGCTGAAGGCTTTCGGATAGATCTTTATGACAGTGACCGGAAGCGACAGAGCAGAAAACGTTCAGCAGATCAACATGCAAAGGTGCTACAGCTACAACGGCCACAGGAAATCATGATTTCATCAGCTTATCTACATTGGAAGAAGTTCGGGATGAGTGTATGTCCATTAGGTGGAAAAACAGGCGTAAAATCGAACCATGAGGGACACTGTTGTTAACCGCCAATCGAGAAATCAGTCATCGACGATCGTGAATTGTATGAGGCTTGTGAAGTAGTCTTCAAACAGATCGGCCACACTCTGTTTACCGCCTGTAACGGCTAGAAGCTGCAATAACTGTCTTATGTGAATACTATCAAAAGTGTCAATTTACGGCGTTAAGTTCCGTGTCCACTGATGAAGCAGCAGAGTGAACAAGGTAGACAACAATGTCTATTGTGGAGCGAAACTGACGATAGGAAAAAGCAGTGCCAGGATACATCCAAACAAAACGGGTGCTTTTCTAAAGGGGAAAATTTAGTGAACAGAACATGTATTGTTTCATGGGGACTTGGTAAACAATCGGTAGCACTACAGACAGCGGCGCGTAATACACTTTTTACCAACCAAAGCTCAAGCCTGTGGACCAAAGGCTTAGCAGGCTCCGCTACGACGCACAACTTACAGGACCCCGGTGATAAATACCCTTTCTGTCAACTGAAACAAAGTTTGCAATCAACTCATACACCCAGCCAGTCCGTGACCCGACAGCCTGACACCATGAATCTGGACGTCACGGAAGCCAGACGATGAAATCACACCCCAGGACTCTTAAATAAAAGGACATAGTTACCCTGAACCCATCCGTCCAGTCAATCACTATGGTTCAAATCAAGCGATCGCTTGCAATATCTACTCGTCAGAATTGCCAGGTCTTTGCTGTCTACACGATCCGTAGGTGATTGCCAAACAAGTTGACTAATTGATCCTATACTTCAAATGAACATGCAAAGTTTAGTTAACTAGAACCCACCAGATGATGGTTTCCGCTTCGACTTGCTGGCTACTTGCAGGTTTGTCCGGACTGTAACACTCCAGAAGATGCGACCAGTTTGGTTATCCAAAGAAAATATTATACATTCGAACTTGAATTTAAGACATGTATTGTGACATTCTGTAAAAGCTGTTCTGTCATCATCATCATCATCATCATCATCATCATCATCATCATCATCATCATCATCA